GGTTTAGACGGTACGATTTTCGCCTACAACTATCGTATACAACACGCTCGCGTCTGTCGTAGGCGAGTTGTAGGCTTGATTTACACGCTACGACTCGAGATGTAGGATGGCGCAAGCGTGTTGTATACGATAGTTGTAGGCGAAAATCGTAACGTCTAAACCGGCCKTAAGAAAGAATTCAATTCCCGAGGGAAAAGAGATTTTTTTGTTCTGTCATCTAACCACAGGCAGTCCAAGCTGTATTATGGGCACCGACACGTGGTGGTGCAAAGCCTCTATTGAACAAACATAAAAGAATAACACTTTAACACCATGTTCTTAAAGAGTACGTAAATAATTTAACGATGTCCTTTCTTTAGTTGTTAGAGTGCATTTACAAGAGATCTTGAAGTAGCTTGGTCCATGTTTCTACACTGCGTGAAGTCGAGTTCTTCTGCTCAGGAGGCCTGGTACACATGGTCCTCTATCAGTGGTTTGGCCTGGATGAGTGTGGTGGTTCAGTGTGGAGAAAAATGGGTATGTAGCTCACTTGCTTGTCCTGCTTGTCTGATGCAGATATTCATATGTTTTCTTCTGTCTCATCTAGTTTCTTTTCAGAAAAAATGACTACAATAATAACATTAAAATGATTGATGTGGGCTTCCTATGAAAGCTGTGTCACTACAAGGGGGAATTACAGGGAGGAAGGGAGAGTGAATTGGTTCACGGATTGGCGGGTTTCGCAAATGATTTAGTCCCGATTTCGAATTCAGAATAAAATTTTAACGGATTGGCGCTTCCTGCAAATGCGGCGGATTTCGGATTTACCCATTTCTCTTGTCCGGATTTCGATTTTTACTCACTATAGAGTGCGGATCAAAGAAACGCCACAAATTTATAAAACACAATTCAGCAATTCACATACCATTAAACTATCAATTTTTTTGCGGATTCGGATATGAATAAATGTTTTACGGATCCGACGGATTGTGGCATTATCAACAATTACCTTATGATACAAATGTATTACCTTCCTTTACTTCAGTACACTGTCACTGCTATTCTCGCCTGTCTTCAKRGTGTTTYAACTTTCTATCGGTAACTATTRTCATCACACACCCAGAGTTGTTTGGGGTAAAAATCGCTTTACCCCCAACTGATATTTGAATTTAACTCAAAATATTAGGTTAAAAATCTTTATCCCATATTTTGGCTGAAGCGTATTACAGGTGATTGTTTACGCCTTGCTTGAAGTTAAATTGAAAGGGTAAAGGTTGCCAGCTGTTTTGGGTGAGTTTCACCTATAGTTAAGTAACATTTACCCTTCATTTTATCAACTCTTTATATTTTATTTGAGGTATTAGATACCTTTGGCATCCCCTCTTCTCCCATAAGGTTCATCAGCATTAACACATTTTGAATTAATTTTCAAAATTTKCCTTGAAGACTTCACTTCTCCTTAGCTACCAATATCCCACCTAATTACAAATTAGTTCTTACTTGTTATGTGAAAGACCGACCATTTTCTAAAATGATACTTTTAACCAATCAATTCTTACTCACCGCTCGATGCAGACCAAGATGTTTTAGACGCCATTGTTGTTGTATCGGTGGACATTGTAGGTGTATCAGTAGGTGTAGTTAAAGCTATGGATATATAACAACAAGAACACACTCAGATTATTTTTAACAATTATTCGTCGAAAGCGAAGTGAATATCGGACTGAGCCACTTAGTTCTCTGGGAACCACTGCAAAATCGAGCTTTTCGTGGAGTGGAGGTGAAAAGCTAACTAGTATTACTTCCGCTGTGGCAAACTTTGGGAAATTAACCTTATAATCACTGCTCTAGCAGTTATTATTGTCTTAGAATCATTTTCTAACAGGATATCCGGCAAATTTTACTCACCCCTTGGTGTAGTTGTAGCTAGGAATATGAGACCAAGAACATAGGTTATACAAACAGATAGTGAAAATGGAGTGAGCAATAGTCAAAACAAATTCGTCCCTGTTCAAAAAGGATACTTTGTACTCGACCTCCGACCATCAAACCCGAGTTCGTATCTTTACTCACCTTGTGGTATGGACACACGGTATTCTGCTCTGAATCCAGAGCTGTTGTTTGATTCATCCGAACTAAAGACGAACAGTACGTCACTGTCAGCTGACAACGAAAACGGTACCGTTGAATGAAGGGGAATCGTATGCCATGATCTAAAACTTCCATTGCTTCTTGCAGAGTATCTTTCAGAATATCTCAAAGTGTCGTTGTCATTCAAAGAGAAGCTAGTGAAGCGAACTTGCACAGTGTGATTAACAGGGACCATGATCCTCCACGAGCACAGCTGTCCATCCGGGTATTTACCAGGGAAACCAGGGGACTGGAAAACACCTTTCTTGTTTGTCAGAGTGTAGTTACAACCTCAAATTAAACATTTGTTGATATTAAGTTTGAACGTCAACCCCGTTGCTATTATTCAATTCGATGATGCAATCGTGTCCCTAATGCGATTTGTGAGCTTGCAGAAGGAACTTTATAAAATTCATAACTTTGAAAAATTCTTAAAAATATAAATATATTTGTCAAAGGCTAGAAGTGTTTGCAGTAGGTCGGATAATTTTATATGACAGCCCCACCTAACAGCAAAAAGTGCATCCATAGCGATTGTCAGATGTCAGTCTTTATGAATAATTTTGATTTTGATTTTTTTTTGTTTTGATTGCTTGAACTCCTTTGTGTTGGTATTGTTGCTTCCAATTTGTTAATGTTTATAGCTATTCGTTTATAGCTATAAATATACACTCTCTTTCCCACTTACTTTCATAGTAGCAGTAAAACATCGTGATTCCATTGTTATTTTCGAGTTGATATGCCGGTACTGTTCCATTTATAACGTTCTCTGTCTGGTACTTGATCCATTCAGTTGTTGCTACCATCCATTTGACTTGTTGACAGTCACGTGACCCATAAGGCAGCAGATAAAATGGTTTGGTTGTCGGTAACGAGATTGGAATCTTTTTGTTCCCCCTTGTGTAGCATTGAAAGTGAAATTCGATGTGTTTTTTCTGTCCACTACTGGGGATTTCATCATAATAATCAACGAAGGAACTAGTGTATTTTACTGCGTCTTTGTTGTCAGTATGTTCACCAGTCATTTTAATTGATGAAAAGCTTTTAGGCCCGTATATGCAGTATTGACCTACAATAGGAAAATATTGTCTATAAACCGCTTATTATACTTTCAAACAATCATGCAGAGCTGAAACTGAGATTTCTTGGCAAACGTACCTTGTGGCCAAACTGCAGATGAGCCTTGCGTTCCTGTTCTGATACAGAAAGATCTAACTACATAACGAGGAGTAACATAACCATCAATATGAAAAATTTTTGATCTGTAATTACTCTCCTTACTTTTGGTATCTTGTAAAATCCAGGCTTTGTCTTTCCATTTGTTTGGACAACCAGTTTTAGGCTTGATTAGAACGTACTCTCCACGAGGCCATTGGGTCGAATCTGTACTAACGCGAAAAAATCTTTAAATTTAGGTTAAAAATCTTTACCCCATGTTTTGGCTGAAGCGTATTACAGGTGATCGTTTGCACTTTGCTTGAAGTTAAAGCTGCTTTACCCAAAATGAAAGGGTCAGGGTTGTCAGCTACTTTGGGTGAATTTCACCTACGTAGTTATAATAATCATTACCATTTATTTGGGTTCTTTTGGCATATTCTCTCTCCGAAAGGGTATATCGATTTAAACAGATTTGGAGTTATCCCACCTAATTACAAACTAGTTCTTACTTGTTATGTGGAAGACCATTTTCTAACAAGATACGTTTAACCAATCAATTCTTACTCACCGCTCGATGCAGACCAAGATGTTGTAGACGCCATTGTTGTTGTATCGGTGGACATTGTAGGTATTTCAGTAGGCGTAGTTAAAGCTATGGATATAACAACAAGAACACACTCAGATTATATTTAACAATTATTCGTCGAAAACGAAGTGAATATCGGACTGAGCCACTTAGTTCTCTGGGAACCACGGCAAGAGAACGAGCTTCTCGTGGAATGGAGGTGAAAAGCTAACTAGTATTACTTCCGCAATGGCAAAGTTTGGGAAACTTCATAATCACTGGTCGCTAGACCAATCACAGCGCGCAAAACTCTATGTTCAAGTCTAAACTCATATGGCTGAAACCTAATAATGGGAGGTTCTCATATAGCGCATTTCACATCGTCTCAATGCGCATTTACATTTATTTAACAGTACGAATGGAGTGAGCAATAGCTAGTCAAAGAAGATTAGCGTGCGTCCCTAGCGATAAAAAAAATGGTTCTAACAGGATAAGGCTTTTTACTCGAGCTCCAACCACCAATCATGAGTTCGCATCTTTACTCACCTTGTGGTATGGACACACGGTATTCTGCTCTGAATCCAGAGCTGTTGTTCGATTCATCCGAACGAAAGACAAACAGTACATCACTTTCGGCTGACAAAGTAAACGGTACCMTTAAATCAAAGGGAAGCGTATGCCACGATCTAAAACTGCCATTGACGGTTTTGGAATATGTCAAAGTGTCGTTTTCATTTAAAGAGAAGTTAGTGAAGCGAACTTGCACAGTGTGATCAACAGGGACTATGATTCTCCACGAGCACAGCTGTCCATCCGGGTATTTACCAGGGAAGCCAGGGGACTGGAAAACACCTTCCTTGTCTGTCAGAGTGTAGTTGCAGCCTGCAATTAAATATTTGTTGATATTAAGTTTGGACGTCAACCACGTTGCTGTTATGTAATGTGATGATGTAATCTTGTCCCTTATACGATTTATGAACTTGCATAAGGAGCTTTACAATTTTGATAACTTTGAACAGTGCCTTATAAAAATATATGAATATTTGCCAATGGTTAGACGAGTTTGCTGTAGCTTGAATCACCATGTTAAATGACAGTCCCACCTCATTTTTACAGTGTATCCATAGCGATTGTCACATGTCAACCTTTATGCCGGAATATATTTTTAAAATTTTTCGTTTATATTTTTTGCTTGAACACCCAGAGTTTGTTGCAGCCGCGCGGTTTGTTTGTTTACTTATATTTGTGTTGTTGTTGTACGTTGTCACCGAGATTGTTGTAGTTTTTTTGTTGCTTCCAAATTGTTAATGTTAAAGTTTATAGCTATATGTTATCGAATATGGGCGAAGAGTCACTCTTTTTCCCACTTACTTTCATAGTAGCAGTAAAACATCGTAATTCCTTTGTTACTTTCAAGTTGATATGCCGGTACTGTTCCATTTATAACGTTCTCTGTCYGGTACTTGATCCATTCAGTTGTTGCTACCATCCATTTGACTTGTTGACAGTCACGTGACCCATAAGGCAGCAGATAAAATGGTTTGGTTGTCGGTAACGAGATTGGAATCTTTTTGTTCCCCCTTGTGTAGCATTGAAAGTGAAATTCGATGTGTTTTTTCTGTCCACTACTGGGGATTTCATCATAATAATCAACGAAGGAACTAGTGTATTTTACTGCGTCTTTGTTGTCAGTATGTTCACCAGTCATTTTAATTGATGAAAAGCTTTTAGGCCCGTATATGCAGTATTGACCTACAATAGGAAAATATTGTATATAAACTGCTTATTATACTTTCAAGCAATCAGAAAGAGAAGAGCTGAAACTGAGATTTCTTAGCAAACGTACCTTGTGGCCAAACTGCAGATGAACCTTTCGTTCCTGTTCTAATGCAAAAAGATCTTACTACATAATGAGGAGCAACATGACCATTAATATGGAGAATCTTTGATCTGCTATTACTCCCCTTACTTTTGGTATCTTGTAAAATCCAGGCTCTATCTTTCCACTTAGTTGGACAACCAGTTTTAGGCTTGAGTAGAACGTACTCTCCACCAGGCCATTGGGTCGAACCTGTATAAGTCCCTGATCTTAATTACTTATGCAAAAATTTTTTACATTTATGTTTTAGATCATTTAAACTTAGTCCACTTCCCCTCAATATCCATTGAGTCACGCTCAAATGTCGCATGAATAGATAGATTTCTCAATAGTCCCCTTCACAGTTCCCTGCACCATCTTGAAAGGTAGCCGTGCCTTTCCATCGAAGCGAGACGAACGTTGAGCTTGCAGTTATAGAGACGTGAATTATTGTCCAAGGTGTTAAAAAAGGTCTCTTCTATTGCAAGCTCAACGTTCGTCTCGCTTCGATGCAAAGGCACGGCTGCCTTTCAAGATGGCGCAGGAAACTGTGAAGGGGACTATTATAATTGCCTTATTTCACTATGACATCATATCAAAACAATCTATTGTTTAAACGCGAAGGATCATGGCATGATTTTCATTGATTATATTTTGACATTTTGTCTGGGATAGGGTATCATTTTAGTCTGGGATACGTTTAACGATTTAGTCATTTTTGTCTGGCGAATAGGCTACGCTTTCTGCCGACCAAAAACAATAAAAACGTTAGTAAATATTGATCGAAATCTATTGAAAAACCGTTTGATAAAACACTAGAGTGAGTGTCCATATCATCGATTGTGAGATCTTGGGTGTCTTGCTTAATTGCATTACAAAAATATTCATTAAAACATTCAGCAACGCACTTGGCTTCGTTAATGACATGATTTTCCTCAACTAAGATGATCTTCTCATGAGTCTTGCATCTGGTGTTTGGCAGCAGAGGTTTCATTATTTTCCAAAATTCTCCAGCATGTTTCGTATCGTTAGAAGCGTTTTTACAAAAAGAATGAAGTGCTTTCCTTTTTCATTGAAGTTACTTTATTACGTTGTGTTTTGTAAGCTTCCCACGTGCTTGGTGATGGCTTCTTTTTGTGCAATTTGAATAGTTTTTGACGATAGAATATCTGACGTTGTATCTCCGGTGTWATCCAGGGTAGCTGGTCGCCTCTTATTTGTTTGTTCTTAATTGGAGCATGGTTGTCGAGAATGTCTTTGTATAGACTCGCCCAATGGTCCCATATGTCATTACAATCTTCAAAAGCATAGGCTGCATGCATTTAGGTCTTCTCTTTTGACAAAAGGGAGGCCGTCTTTACAATAAATAATTACACCACCACCAACCTTGGACGTTCGGTCATTCCTTATGCATGTGTAGCCTGGAATATTTATTTCTTCATCACTAATGCTGGGCTGTAACCAAGTTTCAGAAAATGTGAGCACATCAATAGGCTTCGAATTGCGTAACCTGATCTTCAATTCATCCAGTTTGGTTCAAAGGCTGCGAACATTAAGATG